GTTTTAAGTTTTCATTGGCATGTCGGTGCAACACGGACATGCCGTGGTATTGGCAATCTTCCAACTTCCAACTGTCCTACTAGTATAGTAAAACAACTTATGTTTACTTGTGCATAAATCCAATTCACACCTGTATCCATGCATTATGGAAACCTATACGAAACAAAGACATTCTTGAAAATATCGATACCTTCTCACTTCACCTCACGGATGTTTATGAAAGGTGTTGATGTGGTTATTGAAATTTAATTTACGATTATGCTAATACACAACACTATGTTGTTGAATCAAGCCAAATTCAATGCATATATATGAACACATTTGTTTACTTTGGCTTTAAACCATTAAACCATAAATAATGTTCATATTTCATCAATTCGGATTTTGAAAAATAGGTATCTGTTTGGGTGATTCATAAAATCGTGCTATTACTTAAAGCTACTGCAAACTCGAACTATTTTCATTTTCTAAAAGCATCTTTTGACCGTGCTTGTTTTGTAGTATTCGCAAATAAAATGGAACTAATCCTTGTCATAGATACAAAGTAAAATTGCAAGAACTCTCAAGAAATATTGTAAGAAAACAATGATAATTCCAAGAAATTTCCCCAGCGAGTTCTGTAAAAACACTGTTGGTGTGCCCGTCCCTTGCTAACCTCGGCAAGATCTGCCAAGCTGGTAATACTCTCTGCTTATGTCAACAATGATTTAATGTTGTATCTATTTTTCTACGTGTTAAGCCCGCCCAAATAAACCTTTATGGTTTACGATTTCTACATATGCATGCCAGTTTCCATGCCCGTCGTGTTATCGGGACGCTTTTCCAAACTGTTATAGTTGTCGTTGACTCTCAATAGTGGATTGTCTTGCGATGAAGATACTCGTTTCTGTAACCAAATAATACACAAATATTTGGATTATTAGCATAAATGGTTCTTTTTCATGAAAATGTGTTCTGGGCAATTTTTCTAAGCCTTAGCAGATCTGATCAAACAGAGAGACATGCGCAAAAGATGACCTTTGCCATGAGCAAATAATGCTGTTTCTGGATTCGTTAAAGAGACGGTTTCGCATTTTATATTCGCCTGTGGTGGCCGGGTTTTACTAATGATGAGATTCAGTGTCAGTGTTTTCGGAAATGGAGCTGTGTGATACTCCGCGTTGTAATATGTCGGTTATTTGATTTTGAGTTTATAAATCCATCTCACAGGCAGCTAGGGATATTTTGAAAGGAAATTAAAGAATTATTCTCCGGTATTACCTCGTGAAAGTGAGAAGTCATCGCCCGAATGCACGTTATGTGAGAAGACCCATTCTGACAGTTTCCTACGCAAAATAACTGATTCGTTTGTCTTCCTGCGCGTTAATCATTTGAAAATATTCCTGTATAGCTAGCGCAAGATGTTCAGTTTATACTGTAAATATTTATACAATAAAACGCGTAAATGATATGAGCTTCTTTTTGAGTAGAAGAATTTTGTTTCTTTTGAAGAATATAAGCAAACATCCAAACAAAGATCCTTCCTTCATTCCACAACATATGGTTAATGTCACATATTTCAAATCATCATTTTTAAAGTAATCAACGGTTACTTATCTGTAAGTAGAAATAGTCTTTAAACATAAGAATCATGCTGTACAAATACCTTTTTAAGATTTAATGTATTTTTAAATCTATATATAAAACATATATGTTTAAAAACATAATATATGTGCTTAATAATATTCTTCAAATAATATCACGACTCTTCAATTTTTCAATAAGTTTTAGACTTTGGGAAATCTACTCATTTCATATGAATCTAACGATGTTATTTGTGGTCCAAACTTATGGCTTATGTTGGTACAAAACTATTTTGCAAAATGCAGTATCTTGCTCAAAAGTATCAAAATGGAACTTATATATTCTCACAGATTTCCCCAATAATCTGCTGGAACATCCTCGTTTGGGTCAATGTACAGCTTAATAAACACCACGTTTTAAAGATGTCAAAGAGATAGGTCGTATTTGAGCAGAAAGGTTTATTTTCATCCTTCGTTTGTTGTTCTGAATTTACTGGTGTGTTTAATCTTATTTAGTTTTAAAGTTTTGATGATAGGAATATCAGGAATCCTGTTAGCATTACTGTTTGAGATAAAGTAGAAGTGGGAAACAGGTGACAAATGTCATTAATGAATTTCACATTGAAACACCTGGCACATCCATGTATATTAAGTCAAATAACACGAGAATGTTTGTTGCTTTGAATAAAAGATAAAAACGAATAAGTAACAGCCTGTTTATCTCGGAAGCTCTTCCACAAGTATGTAGGGCTGCATATATATACATACATATCCAAGAACCCAATACCTACATCACGAACATGTGTGGACGATTTTTTGTCTATTGCGTTTAAAATCATTTGTGAATAATAACGATATGATGATAAAAACGTATGGCTGTATTGTATAGTACTGACACTATTTTATTATCATAACTGCAAAAACATTTCGTATGATAAAGATCTTACAAAAACCAGGAGGTCTTTATAAGATTATTATGTGTTGTTAGCTGTGAATATTCATGAAGGCGTATCTGTGCCTGGCCCAGAACACCCCTTTACCCTTGACTTCTCCCCTCGCACTAACCCCTCACGCTGTGGAATCCGGGGGATTTGCAGTGAAATATGAATATGTTCCTTCCCCATATTCGTAAACGTGGGAAAGCAGTTAGCTGGATTTGTGTAATTCCAATTTGCTCACTGTGATACAGACTACTTAATCTGGTAATTGCCGTGAGACTGTTTGAAGACTTAGATGGGTTATCGATGATGCTCATGATATGCACAACCAAGGACATTGATTTAGAATCAGATATTGTCCCATGGTTCTATGTTCTATTATGAAAATACGATATTGTCGTATAGTGATAATTTCGACGTCAAGAAGTTTACAAACATAATATCTATGCTTAATATATAAATATCGTAGGGATCATTATCTTTTGAATCTTACTTTTCAAATTTATTCATCAATGATATTTTGCAAAAGTTTAAAATGATCATTTTCCGAATAAAAGTGATGTTATTTTTACGAACGACACAGAGAAAAGTTTGTTGTAATGATAGATATGTTGGGTATTTTTTTTAGGGCCAAACAGCAGAAAAACATAACGATAGGAAATAGGATGAAAAACACAGAGAGCAAAAACACACGCTACAACTGTAGAAAATAAATGGATTCCAAAACTGTTGAGAAAACCAAAACGCAGTCTTTTACTCTAATTGCCCAAAAAGCAGAGGAAATATTCCAAGTCCGACAAATGTTTGTTCACAATTCATGGTTTGTCATATTTCATTTTCAAAACGGACACCCACGTACAAGACACATATATCACTGATATATCGCCTAATCTAGATCAGAGGAAACAACCTGATATATGGGCTTAAACATAACCCTCCCACCCCCAATCTCCACCATCGCAACCCCCCAGGGCAAGTGGCGTCAAGCAACCATGCTCCACAGACCCTTTAAAACAATGGTATTCACTTAACTTCTATCGGAAACAGAACAGGGGCATTAGTATCAGAAGGGATAAAAGACCTCGTCCATCGTCGATGGAATATCAAAAGGGAGTGAAGGGGAGGTAATCTGCTTGGCGCGAGATCTGGGGAGAGATATGGGGAGCAAAAAAATAGTTCCTCGTCTCCCATCGCTATTTTTCGTTGACAGAAACCCTTTCTTGCCGCGCTCATTTTTTCCTATCGTCTTCGATCGAGAGGGTTGTGGCATTCCCCAAATGTTTCTTTTCCATGTGAGCCCTACATAATCAGGTCTAGTGAAACTCGTGAAGATCACCTGAAACATTTGAAGCTTGAGAATAGGAGAACATGTTTACCGCCTTTTCCTATCTGTCTTCTCCTATTATTAATACTGCCTCTGTTATACAATGTCTCGGAATTAGGAAAGGAGCTATGCATGGAATGAATGGCCCTAGAAATGTTAAATCCCGAAAACAAGTTTTTTGCATCTGTTTTATTAAATGGCATGAAACAAATTTGGTTGTGTAGGCACCTCCTGCTTCAGAGTGAAAATTTCTTTGTACGCTGATTTAAATAGGAATATATAATATAATTAGCTGTAATTGCCACACCTGAATTAAATTTGAATGTACTTATTTGTTATAAAATAGGGTTGTATTTGATTAATTTATATGTATAACCTATAACAGAACACAATTACACTGTATTCAAATACCTGGTGTCGTCATTGATTCTAAGTGAACAATTCATATAATTGTCACCGCTATTTTGCCTTTTTACGCCCAATGGAGTCTGGTTCGGATAATCGAGACTGGTTATTCTCTGTCGTTGACGTTTTATATTTTACTTGCAGTTCCAAGTTTACATCTCAGTGGCAATGTTGCATTCATGTGCAACCATAAGAAGAAATTATAGCTTACTTTTAAATTACACATGTTAATATAATGAAATGTATTGAAAATGTGTCATATCAGTTTGGTGAAGTATTACAGTAAATCATTTAAATAAAACATTTGGGTGAGATATAAACAAGAAACAAATGCCTGTAACTTAAAGTGTGATGAAAGACTTTGTACGATAAGCATGCGCTTCGAAATTATGGATAATCTTCAAAGACGACCAATATTATAAGATGTTTTAGATACCAACTGCATAAAAAAAAACGTTCTCCATGTGCTCAAGTTAAACGCACGAATCTCCCACAGCAATTTGCTTCACATGATAATCAAACAACCACAGAATGTTTATTACCAGCGAGCGATTTGTCGCTTGTGATATCTTCACGTAAAGATGACGAATTGACTGTTTGTGCAAATAACAGCCTTTTGCGGTGACAAAGACATTAAAGAATGGTCCACCTCAAACACTATAAACAAAGCATTTCATCAAGAAATACCTCTTTATGAACTGGTGCTTTGGATTAGAAAATTACAGTATCGCTAATATGGGGTTCATGCCAGATTTTATTGGGACAACTCACGAAATGAGCCATTTGAGCTGGCTAGCCTCTGTTCTCTAGAAGTTCGGCGTCTCGCATTTGGAAATATCATGGAAAAAGCTGAAAAAGAATCTCCGTCATGAATAATGGCCTGGCGATTCAATGAATTAAAAACAAGTGGCGTGGTCTGTTATTATGACTCGATCGTGTAGTAACCATTATAATGTGACGGGCTGTTTGCCCGGACCAGTGAAATATGGCGATTTTGAAAGAACAACCCAAATTTGAGATTTCCTTAGAGGGAACGTCTGTTCAATCCATTGTATGAAAATTGAAATATAGACGCAATACAAACACTACCTTTTTGGCTAATGGCTCAATATTGAAATTAAATATTTGATTTGAAGTGCAAGATTAAGTCAATACGATTCCAAATACTTTCAAGTACAGATAAAATGTGTTGTGTAATCCATTCTATTAAAATGTATCAAAACTTTGTAACTGAGATTAGAAAAGAATATCGGTAGTCAAACGATGATATCTTACGGCCGTGATTAAGCGATTGTCAGATTAAAAGATATATAATACACCGTATTTACACCGTAGTTCAGAAAACGCCAAAAAAATGAGTTGTTTTTTAAAACTATATTGTGTAAGATTATACCCATGCACAATCTAGGCAAATTTATTTATCCAGTTGAATGATATTTGTAATGCCAAAGGGAAAACTGTTATAATTTCTATTTGTAAAGAACCATACGTTAACACAATACGAAGGGTATAAAACAAAACATTTATGAAATTTATGACAAATACAACACGAGTCCATTTCAGCATGAGAAATGTAACCAATGTATACGATTTTCTGATCAGTATCAACGAGGAACGCATGACAATGTCAATGTTGATTACCTTATTGTTACTATTATCGCTATCCACATACCAACCTTTATTATATAGACCAGATTAATTTACCTTCTATGTCACGGAGTTTTACCTATGTGCCCATTGCATTTCAACACCTCATTCCAAGAATGTCAACTCTGTAATCACTCCCAGGAATACACATAGCATGTTCATATCATAATCGCTTATCTGTCACTGGTATCTCCCTATATATGTAGGTGTTCACCAAGCGTGTAAGTAACCATCTGATAGCTGTAATGTTTTCAGTGATGTCTACATTGGTATTTGGAAACGCTATCAAGTGATGTATTAGGTTAAACTAGTTTCTAAATGCTGAATGTGTTACATTTCAATTGTGTTTCGATAACCTGAATTCATGTCCCTTATCTACTACTGACCGCCTCATTCTTTCATATTACTATACTTAATCTGTCATGGCATAACAGATTAACTACAGTATTATGAACGAATCGGTTACTCTATGACAAACGCCCATGTGCATACTCCTTCAGGTTAGTAATGACAGCGTGACTTTGACATAAACTGAAAGAAAAGTTACATACACATTCTACTTTCGTTTTCTGAACCATATCACCGTTCTTCCAATTTAACTAACATGGTGTGCTAGGATGTACAGTACACTTGCAAATGAAACATGATTGGTCCTTTATAAATACACATACATATTAACGTTTGGAGTATCACAAAAATATATTGTATTCACTAAGTAGTAATACAATTCAAATATAATACGGCGGTAATTTTCTGAACAGCAAACTGCTCTATCATGCGATTAATTTTCCTAATGAGTATCATAAAAAATGTCATTATGTTGTAATAAAATACTACTAAAGAGCGTATTATATATTTCGCCGTATGCTTTGATACATGTGAAACAGGTAAGTCAACAATACTGCTTTCATCTATACTCAGTTTCTGGTTGTAATAGACTCGGATATCCTGTTGCACATAATCAAGATGTGTATTTGATTATTGCGATACACATTCGGAATTAACATGTAATTGACAACATTGTTTCAAAAAGTCGTATAATTACTTCCACAATAATTAAACCGATATCGCATTACATTTATTCAGATTGGTATTGGCTTTTTCAATTCATCTGTGGTCACAAGGGTGCTTCAGTAATTATTGGAAACAATATACGATAAATTTTGTAACGTATTTAGAATGGGGGAAATTAATACTTTTATGATTTCATTCATCCCGTTACCTAAGAATGACATTTAATCTAACGTGTACTAGTTCGTTGAAAGATATACAGTATCATTATTACGATCGCAGACATCCATCAGATAACTCCTCCTCATGTGAGGTTTATGGTGACACAGGCATAATTCCTGTATTATTACTAAATAACATATATAAGTTTATTATTACTAAAAAAACATATATTAGTTTATTATTACTAAAAAAATATATATTAGTTTATTATTACTAAATGACATATCTTAGTTCATTATTTTATTGATAAAATGAATATTCGCGGATGTATGAATACCATAAAATGTTATTATTAGCTTCTGCTGCTAGTGTGTTCCGGAAGGTATATTTATGAATATTTCATTTACACATACCGTTTCGTTGGGAGCGAAAGGCGAAACATGATAAAATGGACTGAGTCAGACCAATTGAAAATATGAATCTAAAGAACGTAACAGATGTTCAACCAATTTACAGAGTTTGGGATTATACAGTTGATCAGATACTGGATTATTTTCTCGGTGGAAAATATACCACAGCTTTTTCAGATAATAGCCTTTTATACATTTGTTACGGAAAAAGCTAATTACGCATTCTGATCGTTTTCATTGAATATCATGTTGTGCATAATGATTGCGATAACACTGTTGCCAGCATTCTATAAGTACAATGATCAGCTTGTATTGCGGTGTATATTGTTGGGTAGAATTAGGCGCACGTTCAGGAAAAATGAATAATATTGCTAAACTGATACGGTATTATGACAAGATATACACCTAAGCATATGTATATATACAACCACGCGCACGCATACATAGAGCCTATGTGTTTTTAATGTGTATATTTTCATAACAAGTCATCTAGTTTCAAAATAACTTTAAAAGACAGTCATGGCAAACCAATTGTTGGATATATGTCCCTTTCTTTGTTGGTCTTATGAAAGGGTTTTGAAATTGTAAATATTTCAAAAGACTCAAAGCTGAGGATGTTGTTCGCGCGACTTTCGGAAAGCTTTATGGCATTTTCTGTCCATATTTAATATCTATCACATCACATGATTCTTTAAAAAAAACTATTGAACAATCGTAAATTGAAACACATGTTAACGTAACAGTTGGATGCTTTGATGCATCTTTCTACCCTATCATATAAATAATGCATCTCTTTTTCAACTTTGCATATGTTATGAATATCGTTCTTGTTTCCTGTTGTTTTTAATTTTCATGACAGTGTCTCCCCGTTTTTGTTTTTATCCATGATGCATATATTTAAATATATTAAAAGTAATTTAATACAGTTTAAATTTCTCTTTCCAGTGAATCCGTGTATGTCATTTATGCATCGTTGTCAAAGGAGTATGCGCGTTCCTATACAACGTACGTTGAAGTCAGCAAGGTCTGTGTCCGTTTCAAACAGTACAATATCAGTCATCCGCTGATTTGTGAATATTCATCCGTTTGCTTCGCACAAACAGACACCAAAAGACTGTATAAGTATCAATCGTTAGCGTTTTGAAATGTATAGCATAAATCTGCGCAAAGCATTGTTTACAAACTCTACTATATATACAAAGAAAACGCTAAGCACCAGGGAGTTGTTGCTTGGTTAAGGATGCGATAGATCGTATATAACTTGTCAATAGCCCCCTTTGTTCCCTCAAGCTGTTTCGACAATAGGCAGTAATGCTTAATCTGGTATGTATATTTCATGTGCATGACATGTCTATTGCAATCTAAGCGATATTTACACGTGTGCAGGTAATCTACACTTCGATTCTGCTTCACTCCTCTCAGGTGGATTGTATTTACATCGGTTATCAGCAGTGGAAAAGATTAGCTTCCTATAATGTGCATGTTGTTAACAATTATTTGCATTGATTTTTATGACGAAGATTGTAATGCATTTCATGTGCAAGGAAGGTACACACTCTGGCTCTTTCCACTCAATGCTTCCTGACTCGCATATCTCTGATTGGTAAATGAGACGAGGAATATGAAACTTACAACGTAATGATACACATATGTATATTGCACACGAATACACCGTCTCCCACATTGTCGATTTTAAAGGATTTAAATAAACGGAAGACGTATGCAATATCTATTTATTTTTCATACGCTCAATATTTTTATCATGACTACTTTAGTGATTTAGGATAAACTTTTTCGATTATTGCGATGTTTGTCTCTTTATAGATGCTCACATTCGTGACATAACCCCGTCCCAGAACATTTGGAATAAACAATGCCACAATGTCCATTTCACGTTTTAATTGTGAGTTTAATTTATGTTCCTATTTAACTGTCCAATTACCTGCTTGAATGTGTGTCCATTCGTCTCTGTTGCCTATTCCTTTGATTTTTCGATAAACTCAATTTAAACGAAATTTACTTAACCAATAACATACCTTACTTGTAGATCAATCAATAGAACGTTTATGTTATGTAAGTCCTTCCTAACCAAATAAAGGAATTGTTTAAGGTTTTATACTTGTAGTAATATCAGACGATGCTTAATGGGTAGGGGATGCTCCATGGACAAAATTTTGATCCATTTGCGTGAGGCGGTTGTAAGACAATAAAGGAGGCTTAACATCAACAAAATTCACGAGGAAGGCTGGTCTGCAAATATTTAAGGGACAGGATTACCCCCAACACGTTGTAAGCTTAACTGCGTGGGGCGGTCTCGTAACTCTAGGCCATAGAATATCACAATTTATCCCTTCATTAAACGTCGCGTATTCTCTGTATGCCTATCTTAACGCATAGGTGTGCTTTCCTTTTCAAATGGCATCCCGGAACTGTCTGTTTGGCGCCTTGCCTTTACAAAACCGAGCCGCACGTTTGCTCCGGATTTTAAAATACAAAACGCAAACTGATCAGACAGTTCTGTCGAACGGGACCGAAAATTAATTTCCCCTTCCTAGTACATTGTATTGGTCACGTAGCCCTGGAAGGGCCGACATACTCTAAACATTGTACTCCGTGTAG